TGTTCCTACACTAGTAGTAAGTGGGGAGAATGCAGACCATACAATTGATTCACAAATATTAGTAGCAATGAATAATGAAATAGCTGATCCAAATCCATATCCATTTGAAAGTAATTCATCAAGAAGAAGAACTATTAATCCTGCAACAAATAATTGAAGAAGAATTAAACAACAATTGAAAAATCCAAGTTCTGATGGATCTCCATACATTCCTGACATAATATAAGCAATTCCTTGTCCAAGAGTCATAAGAAGTCCAAATAATTTTTGTGATGCTTCAAATAATTCACTTTCTTCTTGATTATCCATATCAACTGAAATAATTTTAGCTCCTTGAAGAAGTTGCATTACCATTGAAGCTGTAACAATTGGTGAAATTCCAAGCTCCATTAATGATCCTCTATTTGATGCCATAACTAAACGCATCCAATAAAATGGATCATTTCCTACAATGTCTGTTCCAATTAATGGAATTTGACTACAAACAAGAAACACTAATAATGTGATTCCTGTCCACATCAATTTTTCTTTAAATCCAATCTTTTTAGTTGGTTCATTGATTGTTGGAATAAGACTAACAATTGGTCTAATGACATTGAAAAACACTCCCATGACTGTTCCAGTAATATGAATTTTATAGTTCTACACCCTTTTTCCTTTCAACTTATTTATTTTCTTTTTTATTTTCAAAAACTATTCTATTTTTTAGATTTTGTTTAATACAAACTTTTATTATTTTTCTTTCTTTTTCTCTTTTCTGTTCTATTTAAATTTAAATTAAAAATAAAATTCATCATTCATTGAATCACAATTATTTTTTTGTTTTTCTTTTTATTTTGTGTTAATTCTTCAATAACATAATAATCACTTAAAATAACAAAAATCCTTCTTTTACTGTATTTATAATCGACTTAATTAACTACAAAGTCATTCAATGAAAACTAACAACAAAATCATACTCGGTATTACTGCAAGTATTGCTGCTTATAAAGGAATTGACATTGCAAATGAACTTACAAAAAGAGGATATGATGTTCATGTAACACTAACTAAAAACACACTTCATTTAATTCAACCTTCTACTATTGAAGTACTAACCCACAACAAATGTATTATTGACAGTTTTGATCGTCCAAATGAATATGATGTTCATCATATTTCATTGGCACACTCAGCTTCTTTATTTCTCATTGCACCAGCAACAGCAGACATTATTGCAAAACTTGCTTCAGGAATAGCAGATGACTTTTTAACAACAACATTTCTTGCAGCAACATGTCCTAAATTAATTGCACCAGCAATGAACACCACAATGCTTCACAACCCAATCACTCAAAGAAATATACAAATTCTTAAGTCATTTGGTGTTACATTCATTAACAGTTCATATGGTAAATTAGCTTGTGGTGATGTTGGAGATGGTAAGTTAGCTTCTGTTGATTCAATCCTTACATTTGTTGACCAACAACTCCATCCAATCCAACCACTTCTTAATAAGAAAATAGTCATTACTGCTGGACCAACAATTGAACCAATAGACCCAGTTCGATTTATTACAAACCACTCAACAGGAAAAATGGGGTATGCAATTGCTCAAGTAGCACAACAATTTGGAGCAACAGTTACATTAATTACTGGACCAACAACAATACAAAAACCAAGTGGAGTTAGTATTGTTAATGTACAAACAGCAATTGAAATGTACGATGCAGTTATGAAAGAGAAAGATGTTGACATTTATATTATGTCAGCAGCAGTTGCAGATTATCGTCCAATGAATATTTCTAATCAAAAAATTAAGAAAGATGAGAATGAATTAACAATCACATTAGTTAAAAATCCAGATATTTTAAAGGAAATAGGAGATAAAAGAAATGACCATCAGATTATTGTTGGATTTGCTATGGAAACTCAAGACTTGATTCAAAATGCACAAGAAAAACTTAAAAAGAAACATTGTGATATGATTGTGGCAAATCAATTAAATGTTAAAGGAGCTGGATTTGGAGGAGAAACAAACAAAGTTGCTTTTATCACAAAAGATGTTATTGAAGAAACTGAAGTACTTTTGAAGAGTGAAATAGCACGATTAATTATTGAAAAAGTTATTGATAGAATAAATCAATAATTTATTGTTCTTTCATTCTTTCTGTTATAAAAGGAAGTGAGAAAAAAAAAATTGAATTAATTTATTACATGAGAACCTGCTGATGGCTTCCATTTTTCTGAAATGATTGCTTCAGTAAATTCATTCTTTCCAATAACTTCAAGTTGACCATGATTTGGAGAAAGAATTTCAAGTGCTTGTTGAACAAATTGATTTGCTTTAACCATTACCATTCTTTTGACTGCTGGTCCTTTCCAATGCATAAAAATCAAACGAACTTGATCAGGAATTCCTTGTAATTCTAATCGAAGTGCAAGAAGAACAAATGAAACTTGATCATCATGAAGAGCATTTTTTAATTCAGTTATCCCATTTCCTCTTTCTCTAAATACAAGTTTATTTTGATTATAGTCAAGAATTATATATTCTCCATGTGGACAATCCAATGAATTCATTACTTTCATAGCAGCTTCAACCATTTGTGAGTGTTTTTCAAAATTAACAAATTAAGTTCAATGTTTTGTATTTAAGATTGACTTTCAATTCCTTTTTATTGTTTTTTTTTTTAATTTATTTCAAATGGTTTATAAAATTAAATTATTTGTCTTTATTTAAGTATTATGTTTTTTTTTGTTTGATTTTGTTATTTTGTTGATTCTTTCTGTCTTGACGTATTTATTAAAAACATTTTAATTTTAATTTTCATTCTTATTTTTTGGTTTAAAAAGAAAATGAGGAGAAGACAAAGCAATTCTTTAATTAAGCATTACTTCTTGTGACTATGGTTTTATTAACCTCCCTTGGTATAACAACTTTCTCATATAATCATTTTGATAAGCACTTCCATGATATTCTTGAATGTTGTTAACTTGTGCAATTCTTTCTCTGTAAGAAAATGAACTATCGACATGAATATTGTTTAAAGCTTCAACAATTGAAGGACCAACATATTTAGGAATTTGGAAAAATTGAGTTTGATGGTTTGGTGTTTCTTGATTTGTTGGAGGTAGAGGGATTGGTTGGTTGTTTAATGGAGATTCTAAGAGCTTGAATTTTTGGTAATCAGAACAAGTGAAATAGCAAGTATGACAAAGGGATATAAGTTCATTAGAGTCAGCAGTAAATGCAAGAGATTCATTACTTGCACTTAAAAAGGATATAGTTCCATCATGATTTTCAATAATTTTCCATAAAGAATTAATGCTGGTTGTGTCATTCCATTGATGAATAACACTTCCTTCTGATGAGTCATTTCTATGTACCAAAAATCCATTATGTCCTATTTTTATTTGGAACAAATCATTTTTTTGAATAAATTGGAAACTTTGATTTTGATTACCATGTGACCAATATAAAGTGATTGGTTGTCCATCTGTGAAGTCTGAATATTTAGCATCAAGGACATATCTTGTTGTACAACATGGCATAATATAATATGATTTACTTGTCAATTTTTTAATAAATGCTTCTTTCTTCTGTTCTAATTCTTGTGCAATTTGTTTTTTCTTATCAAAAAATGCATTCAATTCATTGAGTGCATCTTGAAGAATGGTATTATAATCATTTTTGTTGAATATTATTTGTTCATGTTGTGTTGTGTATGTTTCACTCTTACTTGTAAATAAACCAAGATAGTATTGGTGACATAATTCTACTTGACGAACAGTGGAAAGTTCTTTTGTTTGTACTTCTTTGTCAATGGTGTTGATTAAATTATGGTAATAATTCTTGATTGTGATATAAACGTCTCTCCATTGTGGTTTTCTATTTAATATTTCATTAGTTTTTAATGTGATTGTATCAATACATTGATGTTTCAGTTCATTGACTGTTGTACATTTTTTATTTGAATAGAATTGAAGTATTTTTTGATTTGATGTAAGTGTTTGTGCCAAGTAATTATTAATTATTGTGCTATAATTCTCTTGTTCAAATTGTTCTTTGATTTGTAGTTGTGTAAGATAATTCCACATTGGTGTTAGTCTAAAGTCATTACAATGAATCAAATCATCAATAATCTTTTGAATATCTTTCAAGATAAACTCTTCTAAATGTTTTGAAGTGATGGAGATAGAATCAAACAATTCATTAATGAGTTGATTTCCATAAATGATATGTAATATATCCCAGATGGGAATAAATTCAATTTCAATGATTTGATAGACAAGACTCTTTATCTTTGATTGATTTTCAATAACATTTATTCTGTCATTCAAATTCATTTCATAAATCATTCCAACTAATTTGATATTTATTGAACTAATAGTTTCGACATATTTTTTCTTGAATAATCGTTGTATTTCATTTGAGATGGTATTTATATTTAATTCATTTATTGATTTGAATAGCTCAATAAGAAGTTCTATACAAGAAAGAACATATGAACCAGACTTACAATTTAGTGGAATTTCATGCAGAATTTCTGAAATGATACATTTCATTTGTTCTTTGTAAATATTACAAATGATTTGACTTGGAGAAGGATGAGAATATGATGGAAGTAAGAAACACAAACAATTTGTTTGATGTGATTTTGTAGAGAAGAAATGTACAAGATCGTTGTTTATATGTTTTTGTTTATTTAAGACAGACTCTTTGAGAATTGTCTCATTTTCTTTTTCAGTAATTGTTTTAATATCTGGTGAAATACAAATGACTCTTTTCCCTTCTTTTCTTATTCCTTGTAATTCTAATAAACAAGAAAGATAATCAAATGATGATATATCCTCTAATATACCTGCATTTATTTCATTGTTGTTATAAATAATTCTTATAGAAGATAATTGGAGAATAGAAAGAATTTCAACAATATTATTCGGTGTTGTACTTGAAATTAGTTTATGTTTTTCAATTTCAATAAAGAATAATTCATCATTTAAAATTTGTTGAAATTCTTGTTCTTCTAAATTGTTTCTTTTTACGATATCACTTACAAGAATTGGTCCAATGACATTGCAATTATTTGATTCTGATGTGGAAATCTTATTTGAAGATTTCAATGATTCTTGTGCATTGAAGCAATCATTTGATGAAATACCATTAATGATTTGATGTATGTTAGTGTTTTCATCGCTATCTTGATCACCACAAATACAAATAAAATGGGGTTTTGTGCATTTGGAGATAATATTTCTAAACTGGTCAGACAATCCTTTAGAAATATCATTAATATCTTTAAATAAAGAAATATTTTGAGAGTGCATATTGATGAATGAATTTACAGATCAATTAAACGTATATATATCTTTGAATTATATTACTGAAAAAGTCATTGTTTAAAAATAACCATCAATAAATCTATCAATGAAGTAACAATAAAAACAACTAAAATCATTACACTAATATCTATTATAATTATTTTCTTCTTTCAACCCCACTCAAAAAAGAATTAAAATACTGTTTGTTTACGGAATTTGTTCTTTTGTATGTCAGTTTTTTATTATTTCAGCATCATTTTTTTATTTTGGAGTAAAATTAAAAATATTTGCTTTTATAAAAGTCATGACTCAACATCATTCTATTGTATTTAAATATATAACTTCCACTTTTTGATTTTAATGTCGTCTGTATTGATGTTTTATTAAAAGAAAATATAACATAAACTTTAATAGAGATTTGATGGGTTTCATAAGAAGTTTCACTCTCTATAAAACATTATTCGTTCAGTCAAAATCTTATATTATTTCTTTTTTTCATTTAATGAATTTTTAATATTTATAACTTAAATTACTAATCCCTTATTGAGTAATGATATGGTAATATAAAAGTATTTATTATGATAAGGTTTTATAAATAAAAATTTATCTACTTTTGAATGAATATGATTCAATACTTTAATTAAAAGTTAGTATTTTGAATATGCATTAAATTGTTTTTCAATTAAATTTATGTTATTTCATGAATTAAAAAATGATTTTAAAATAATTGATATACTCGTAAAATTATACTTCTTTAAGCTTAAAATAATAACAAACAATAAAACAGTCATGAAACAATTATTGATGATAATCTATAGTCGTTATAAAGGGATGAACTTTTTAAAGAAAGACAGTAATAATAATTAACATCAAAGTTTTATCAGTGAAGATGTTTTAAATAACACAAAAAGTGTGTTTGTTTAATGCTAAATACATACAAAAAACAGGGATTTATTTTAAGAAAACCAATTAAAGTATATAATAGTAATAACAAGGTAAATTATGATGAATTTTGATTAAGTAGAATTTTTAAGTCTTAAATTAACTTATTGGAACAATACATTTGTTGGTTATCTTTCAAAGTGTCTCTTTTGATGAGGTTTGCCTGTTAGAGACATTTAGGTTGATAGTTTTGGAATGTACCTAAAAAAAGGCAATAATGAAGTGAATTTCTTGGGGATATTCATCAATTTTACTGTTGTTTTTGGCAAACAAAACCAATTTTAATAAAAATAAATCATGGCATAATGCCAAAATATTTGGAAAGAAGATAAAATGCATTGAATGTGAAATTGGTTTTGATTTAATATTTAATACAAACCAGTAATTTATTTTGAAAAGTAATTTTATTTCGGTGTATCTTCAGACATTATAAGAACTGAGGAAAAGAAAACTTATAAATTAAAAGATATAAAACAAACATGGGAAACGACATGAGTATGATTGAGCCTTATTATGATGAAACAAAAGATGATTATAATCTTGGATATCCAAAATATGGAGATTGTATTAGATGGAAAGGAGTTCTTAAAGTAGAATATGATAAAAAGAAAGATAAAGATGCTGTTGTTATTGTTACTAATCAAAGAATATATTTCTTTAAACCACAGAAATATAATGTTCCTAAATATCATAGTCATCTTTTTGATATTAAATCAATTGAAATTCCTTCTAACTCAAGGATTATTCTAACATTTCAAGTTGGTAAAAAAGTAAAACATGTAGAATTTTATGAACAAGCAGCTATTGAAATGGTACGGGCAATTAGAACATCAATACGTGATACTACCAATAATTATGGAGAAGATAAAATTATTTCAATAACAGATTTTGGAAATATTACAAAACCAACTAAAGATTTTAATCTTAGTCCATCTGCAGCAATGGTTGAGTCATATTTAAGTATTTGTAGTAGAGAGAATGAAGAACCTAGTATTAATCATGTTTATTTTCTCAAACGAATGGAACATAAAAATTCATATTGTTTTGATTTTAGTGAAATTCCAGGGGTTTGTAATTCTAAATCACCTATTGCTTTTAATTTGTCTAATGCATTTACTGCATTAAGTTATAATACTTCATTTACCCAAATTAAATTACATGATGTTTCAGCACCAGGATTAGATAAAGCAATTGCATTATTATTACAAAGAAATGAATATATTCAAGTACTTGAAGTTGTTAATTGTAGTACTAAACTTGATGCAAAAGAATTTTGTGAAGAATTAGCAAATTCACCTGTTGAAATTATTAATTTTCATGGAACACCAATTATGAAAGGAGAGTCATTAGGAGTTATGATGAGTAAAAGAGAGTATAAAGTAATTAAATTAGATGTTAATGGATGTGGAATTAATAAATTAGGAGATATGATGAGAGGTATGATGTTAAATGAAAATATAATTAAAAATATAAAAGCATTAGACATTTCTAATAATGGAAAGAGTGAAGATTGTATATTAGAATTACCATTATTCATAGAAAAATTAAGTGCTATTCAATCTCAAATAGAATATCTTAATATTTCTAATTTAGATGTTAATCTTGAAGAAGTTATGAATAAAATGAAAGGACTTAATCTTAAGTATTTGAATATTACTGGAAATAAATGGAATAAACTAGACCAAGCAATGGAATTAATTAATTTCTTTCAAACAAATACTACATTAAAACAAATTTGTATGAGTGAAATGAAATTTCAAATTGACCATATTGTTCCAGTTTTATCACCAATTGCAAATAATATCAATTTAACATCAATTAGTTTAGACTTAAAGAATAATGGGTTTGGAGTTGATGGAGGAATTGAATTATATAAAATATTACCAAGTTTTAAAAATGTAAAAAAATTAGATTTAAGTGGTAATAAATTAAAAGGAAAAGCAATGAATAGAATTTTAACATTTATGGAAACATTTAATGAATTAGATACATTATATATTGGAAATAATCCAATGAGTGGAAAAGAATTAGAGGAGTTTATTAAAAATTTAATTACATTTATTCGAGGACATAGTAATGTTAAAGTATTAAGAATTAATGAAATTGCAGAAAAAGAAAATACTTGTATGGATAACTTTTTATTTGAAATAGTTCATAATGAAAGTTTATTAGCAATTGACATTAGTGGAAATCATTTAAATGATTTAAGTACAATTCCAATGGGAGAAATCTTTATGAACAATAAAACATTAGTTGCATTAGACTTTGATAGAAATGACTTTACAATAGAAGGATTTCTATCATTAAGTTATTCTATTGAAAACAACTCAACACTTTCATTTGTTGATTACCCTTCAAAGATGTACAAAAAGATTTCAAAACAAACTATGTCTGTTGACTTATTACAACAATTTGAAGAATGTTTTTATAATTTCTTCAATAAAATTAAAACTAATAAAACTAACAACTGTTTTGGTGATATTCATATTTTTGATATAATTAATTCATATCCATTAAAAATAACACCATGTGAACTTTTAGATAAAAACGTTCAACCAAAATTAATTGGAAAATACATTGAACCAACTCAAACTGATTGTCCAGAAATGCCAGAACAACTTAAATCTTTCTCAGATTTGAAGAAAGATCCTAACTACTATTATAATTAAGTTAATTGTTATTAATTTAGTTCTATTTGAAGGCAATTAAAAATTGCTTATGTTAATAGAATTTCTGATGTAATAAAAAAGAAAAACTAAAAAACTTTTGTAGTATTGATGAAACGGGTTTTAATAACTGGTGCAACAAGTGGAATAGGCAAACAAACAGCGATATTATTATGTACAAAAGGATATGAGGTAATAATTCATGGTCATAATAAAAGTAAAATTGAGTTATGTATTAATGAAATTAAAAACAAAATTCCTCAAGCACATTTAGAAAGTATTTATTGTGAATTTGATGAATATAAAAGCATAACAAGTATTGTCCAAAAGGAATTAACAGGACAACAAATTGATGTTTTAGTTAATAATGCAAGTCATATTAATAAACAACGAAGAGAAATTGATGGAATTGAAGCAACATTTGTAGAAAATGTCATTTCTCCATTTGTATTTACATGTGCAGTATTACCATATCTAAAACCATCTGGAAAGATAATATTTGTTACTTCAAATTGTCATTCAAATTATTTAAACTTAGATTTAATAAATTCAATAGATCATGATTATTTTGAAATTTATGAAAATACAAAAACATGTGAAATTGCACTTTCAATTTATTTTTCAGAAAATACTCCATTTACTTGTTTTTCTTTACATCCAGGTGTTTATAACTCAAGTCTTCATAACAGTTATTGGGGTGATTGTGGGATTGATTCGAGTGAATGTAGTTGTTTATTTAATATGATTGAAAGTGATGAAGTTGAGTCTGGTAAATATTATGACCAATGCCAAATTGCAATTGCTGCAAATCAAGTGTATGACAAAAGGTTTAGGAAAGACCTTTTATTATTATTAAAAGAAAAAACTTCTATTGACACACATACATTACTTCAATCTTTTTCTAATGCTAAATAACTTATTTTTATTTTTCATTTCATTAAAACCAAAAAATTGAATATGAATGATTAAATTAACTTGATCAAATAAGTCCAAGAACTAAGTTGATAAACTTATCAAATTCTACTGGATCTAATTGATCCCTATGAGTGTCAAAAGTTAATTGGTAAATTGTTCGACATTGTGCAAGATAAGAAGTAGCACAAATAAATTGAACTTGGTTTAATTTCTTTTTCCCTATTAAATTTTTGTTTGCTCTAATTAATGCATCACAACTTTGTTTATTTAAATTGAATCCTAATTGAGGAAGTGCTACTTGAAGTTCTGTAATATCTAATGAACCACTTTGATCAACATCAAAATGTTTAAATGTTGCAACACATAATTTTACCCAATTGTAAAGAGCAATAAATTCATAAAATCCAATCGATCCATTATTGTCAGCATCAAATATTAACATTAATCTTTTGATAGTCTCATTATTCATTTTCATATCTTTAGGCCATTTAGCCTTTAATAATTCATCTAATTCTAACGTTCCAGATTTATCTTTATCTATTTTTTTAAACCAATCTTGAAGTTCTCTAAAGTCATTTGCACTAAGGTTTTGAACTAATGGATACCACCATTGGAATTGAATCGTTGGGTCTTGTGCATAGGCAGCTTGTATATTTTGTAAGATCCAGGCATCTGCTGCTGCTTGAACTGAGAAAAATGTTAATTGTTGACTAGTTGGTTGTTGTTGGTTTAATCTTTCTTGCTCTTCTCTTTGTTTTCTTTCTTGTTCTTCTCTAGCCAACCTTTCTTGCTCTTCTTTTTGTTTTCTCTCTTGTTCTTCTCTAGCCAACCTTTCTTGTTCTTCTCTAGCCAACCTTTCTTGTTCTTCTCTAGCCAACCTTTCTTGCTCTTCTTTTTGTTTTCTCTCTTGCTCTTCTCTAGCCAACCTTTCTTGTTCTTCTCTAGCCAACCTTTCTTGTTCTTCTCTAGCCAACCTTTCTTGCTCTTCTTTTTGTTTTCTCTCTTGCTCTTCTCTAGCCAACCTTTCTTGTTCTTCTCTAGCCAACCTTTCTTGTTCTTCTCTAGCCAACCTTTCTTGTTCTTCTCTAGCCAACCTTTCTTGCTCTTCTTTTTGTTTTCTCTCTTGCTCTTCTCTAGCTATTCTCTCTTGCTCTTCTTTTTGTTCTTTTTCAACAAGTAACTGTTCATACCTTTCTTTATAAACTGAAACATACGTCATAATAGACTTAGGATCTGGACGTTCACATACCAAATCTTTTACATCCATCAAAATTGGAATTTTGAATTGTTCGTATGCAAGTTTTTGGCAGTCAATAACCATCTGAGTATTGTCTAATCCACTAAATTGTTCAAATTTAATTTGACCAGCAGAAACTGCTTCTGTTAATTTAACAAGAGCAACCCCATCTTTCCAGTCACTTGAGAAATTAGATACATTCAGACCAAAAGAATTGACCCAATCCAAAAGTGCATTATTTTCTACTACCTCTTCTTTTGCATTAACATTCTTTTGTTGGTTGGCATTAATTTTATATTTAAGAATCATAGTCCATACCATACCAAGAATATAAGTTCTATTCCCATCAACAATATTTTCAGCTGATACTGATGTGTTAAGTTTCTCTTCCTTCATAAAGTTCACTGCTTTTCCTACATTGTCCAATT